ATTGGTAACACTGATTTAAACAGCGTTTCTGGTTTTGTTTCACTGCCAAACTTTGGTTTATAATTTAACCGATTATTCTTCCGCTTTATGGCTTAATGGTTATGAATATAAGCAGAAATGTTGATTTTGGAGTTATTAGGCAGGACGAATCGTTACGTAACTGTGAATAGTGAGCGCTCCGTGCTGAGCGTTGTCCAACTTTTTTCTCCCAAAGTGCAAGGGCTTGCTTTGTATGACATGAGGCTCCAACAAGACGGTGCCACATGCCACACAGCATGAGTAACAATGGATTCAACGTTCGGTGCTTCAATGAGTTCGGTGAAGGTTTAATTCGACGTTTTTGACCGATCCATTGGCCTCCTGATCGTGCGGTTTAACGCCTTAGACTATTTTTTTTGTGGCGCTATGTTAAGGGTCATGTTTTGGAATTTTGGAAAGAGTAGACCAATACTGAACTGAGCAGAAGTACCATTTGAGGTCCATGAAACAATAAATTATGATGAGATCTGTTATGACTTCCAATATTTTTCTATAAAATAAGTTCAGGACAAGTTACAGGCCTCAAATCCGGTGACTGATGAGGTGTTTGAATCACTTTTGGACAATTATAAAGCATTCATCCTCAAACGATCATGGGACATACAGTGGCGAGCAGAAATGAGTACATGTTTGTACCATAGACAACTTTTACTTCATAAAACTAAAAGTTAACAAGCTAATTCAAAAATGTTGGTTTTATTTTATAACGTATTTTGTACTTAACAAAACCACCTAAAGTTAAAAATGTAACTCTTAGATTATTCTTCCAATCACATCAGATTCGCTGCCAAAGTTAGACTCAATTAATAGGGACTGATTGGTTCTGTCCCACCTGTCTCTTTACGATTGGCCCCAAATTATCCTTCGGATTGAGGTCGAGACTTCCCGCTGGCCATCGTATTATTTTACAATTTTGCTCCCCAAGATATTCTTTTACGATTTTGGACGTGTGTATTAATCACCGTCCTGCTCATAATTACTTCTCCTACAGGATAGGCGTTTTTATCTACCAATACCGGTTGATATGACTCTACAGTGATCTCAATAGACTTCTTTCATTATTATATTGTCAATTTTTTGCATCGGTCCAAGACCTACAAGTTAAAGCCAACCGTGCTTCACATTAGGCCTTTGAATTAGTTTTCATCACCAATAATGCTTATCCTCGGATTGAAAACCGTTAAACTTGGATTATGCGGACCCGATAACACGTTACCAGTCGACTACTGATCAACTTTTTTACCCTGATTTTGCAGTTTTTTTTTTCATAATTCTGGTTTTTGGTTTTTTAATTTAATCTTTCCTGACATTGGCTATAGCAGCCAATGTCGGGAAGGGCTCTTCACGTCGTTCACCGATTAAAATGTTTTAGGAGAACTTGAGGTTTGGACGGATTATCCGTTTTCATTCCCACTTTAAACAACCTAATATTTTCAGCCAAACAATATTGTAAAAACTTATAATGCGAACGGAGTGTACGTTTTTTTTTTTTACAAAATTCGTTGAATCCGAAGATAAGATTCGTCCACTTTAATTAGTACTTCTCCATTTTTTTAGTTTGTTAATCTCATCCGTAATTTAAAAATTAGATCCAAGGATCGACTGATATTTAGAAATTTTCGTAATAAATTTTCCACCTATTGAGAACTTGAAATAAAAACTCGATTAAAAAAGAAATCCGAAATTTTGTAGGATAAGTAAAAATCCAATGAAAAATAAACAGGTGCGCTTAGTCGTCGAATAAGCTGCCAAAAATAGCAAAAAATGGATACTGCCCAAAACATGCGCTAATATTGACAGTTTTTGTTAGGGTAAAGATTTATTTGAGATTGAAACCTTTATATACCGAATTCTACCGAAATCTGTTGGAAAATTTGCAAAAATATACAAACATAAACAGACAGACGGACATGGCTAATCGGTAAGATAACCCATTCTTCCCGGGTTGAAAGGGGCGAGTACAAATTTATATATGGGCTGAAACATACCACTCAAATATTTTTCTGTCACAAATTCATAGTGTTTGATGATTAGGCACGTTTTTCAACTGAATTAACTGAATGAATTGAGGTTAATGTGTTAACATAGACATCCTCGCATGCTCTGTGAATGCATCCAGTTTTAACGGGCATTTGTTTTAGTTTCCCGATATTACGGCATTACTACACTTATTTCAGGAATTAGTTCTGACTTCACAATTCGATTGTACCATGCACTATATTCATGTGCGACATTGTGTGCCTAAAAGATACGACGACCGACGATTAAAATAAGTCCTTATACAAAATGGGATCACATAAGTGAGTTCTCTTTAGACTTTAAAACGGTATCCAGAAGCAATTTTTGATAAATGACTGAAATTTGAACTAACATAATTGTGAACATGTTCCACAAATAAAATAGTATGTCCATCATTAACCCCCAAAATGACTGTATTTAAACAGCTTTATTTTTCTCACAACAAAAAAAAAAAAACAACAACAAACACAAATATGTTCTGACATAATTCTGTGCCACATAAAAACATATGATGTGTGTGCGTGTTTTAGGGATTGAATCTGGAATTAACGCTAATAGAGTTAACAAGCCAAGCAATCCATTTGTCTTTTCATTGCTTCTTGTAGAATTTAATATTTTTTTTTTTTTTTAACGGGCGCTTTATTTTATGTTTAGCTGATGAGTGACTCATCATTGTCATCATCGGCATTTCTTTTGAAATTCCTAGTATATTTCATAAAAAAATATTACTCATAAAAAATAGGAATTTCGCTATGCTAAATAGCCGATCCAGAAGCTGTTGTTAATTGACTTAAATACATTTGGGAATTTCTGGTTAACTCCTCCATGCCCTTTTTTGATTTCATATTTCATTGCCATTTTGTTCAACATCATTGTTTATTAATGGACTGTTAATAAAAGAGGAGGGGTCGATTTAGTTTGAAATGTCAAAATATTTTAATTTGGGAACATTTTGGATTATTTCCATTTTCATAATTTTTAAAATGCAAAATAGTTATTGCTATCATTAATTATTGAATAAAGCTAAAGTTTGCATAATATTTTTTAAATTAATTTTTTGTTAGTCAATACTATTTAGAAATACCAACAAATATTCCATAAAAAGTTATCAGGTCCTCAAGTAAGAAGCTCTTATTATAATATTATCGCTTCTTAAAAAACTTTTATCCAATCCTTTTAAATCCACTGGCATCCAAATAATTTAAAAACACTCTTATCCAAGTCCTATGAAAAATCCAATATTATCCAAGTCCTTCAAAGTACCCACTCTTATACACGCCCTATAAAAAATCAAAGTCCTTAAAAAATCCACGCTTATACAAGTCCTATAAAAATATACGCTCATCCAAATCCTTTAAATAATCCAAGTCCTTAAAATATTCACGCTTTTCCATGACCTTTAAAAATCCACGTTTATCCAAGTCCTTAAAAAACCCAACCTTCTCAATGTCCTTATTTAAGTCGTCTCCTCCTTTTATTCGAGGCCTTTTAAAAATTCACGCTTATTCAAGTCTTTTTGCCAAATACTCCGCCACGTTTATCAAAGTCATCTAAAAATCCACACCTTTAGCTCCACATGTCTTTATACCCTTCACCACTCTGTGATACAGGGTATTATGTTTTTGTGCATATGTTTGTAACAGGCAAAAATAATCGAGATAGATCCATGGTTCCTTTTGAGTATATGCTTAGAATCACTTTCTGAATCGATTTAAGCATGTCCTTCTGTGCGTCCACGTATTTTTGTGAACAAAGTACAGGTCGCATTTATGATCCGATTTGGATGAAATTTAATACAGCTAATTTATTTGGTCCAAATACGAATATTGTAATTGGAGAAAATCGGTTCAGATTTAGAAATAACTCCCATATATAGTTTCGTCCGATTTTAGGTAAATGGTGCACCAAACTCCCAATATAGGCCCGATTGAGACAAAATTTTGCACAGAGTTCTGAATTAGGTCAAAAATTTTGACTCAAAATGTATTGCGAAGTTTTGTTGGAATCGGTTTAGATTTAGATATAGCTCCTATATACGGTTGCTCAAATACGTCCATGTATATGTAGATCTTATACATATTTTGCTCGATAATTGACATAAAATGTTTTCATTAATTTAAGATTGGTTTGTGTAGTTGTTGTATTAATATATCTATAACTTCACGCAGTTAATTTCGCCCGATTCCATTTCAATGGTTCTCCAAAGATGCTATGTCTATTCTATCTAAATCATATTGTACATATGATCATGTACAATATGCAAAGTGATGAAGGGTATCATAAAGTCGGCCCCGTCCGTCTTTTTTACTTTCCTTACTGGTTTAAATATTCCTTAATAAACCACGCCTTTTAGGTCCACATGACATTTAATAAATCCGCGACTTTTAATTCCACTTGTCCTTAAAAATAATCCTTAAAAACCGCGCCATGTCGACCTACATGTCCTTTAAAAATCCACGCCTTTTAGGTCCTCATATCCTTAAAAAACTCTAAAAAATCCACTACTTTAGCTCCTCCACATATCCTTTAATAATATTCCCTTAAAAATTTACGCCTTTTAGGTCTGCACTTTCTCCACGCCTAAAAATATTCCCTTAAAAATTCACGCCTTTCAGCTCCACATGTCCTTTAAAAATATTCCCATAAAAATTCATGCCTTTCAGCTCCACATGTCCTTTAAAAATATTCCCTTAAAAAATCCACGCCTTTTAGCTCCACATGTCCTTTAACAATATTTCTTTAAAGAGTCCACGCCTTGTAGGTCCACATGTCCTTTAAAAATATTCCTTTAAATTAAAAAAAAAAACCTTTAAAAAAATTCTACTTGCCGGTTTTTGAAATTTGCCCAAAATTTTCATTCAAAATATTTTTTTTTACAAAAAAATAATTTTTCTTTCTGAAAGTTTCAATTTTTTTTCAACATTCAAATTTTCTTCTTTCAGGACACAACAGCTAAGCTGTTGCTGGAATTATTAATCGTATTTTTCAAAATGGCTGCCACAAGCGCTGGTCTTCAATCGCAGCAGCAACAACAACAGCAGCAGACGTCTACAGATGTAGTGCAACACAAAACGAATACAACGTTGCCAAATGGCGGTGGTGGTCTTGGTACTGGCCTAACTAGAAATGTACAAATCCAGTCACAGCCACAAATACACAATTTGCAACAGCAGCAACATCTGATGCAACAATATGCCATGAAACAGCAGCAACAACATGCCAACTTTCTGCAACAGCAAAGCCAGCAGCAACAACTCAATCAAACGTTTGGTATGCAACCAACAACACAGTTGCAGCAGCCGCAACAGCAGCAAACCTATCAAATTGTACAACAGCAACAACAACAGCAAATGTTGCACAATCAATTTGCCAGCAACATGATGCCTTGTCAAAATTTTATGACACCACCGCCACAGTTGCATAGCCAACCAAATCGATTTATCACGACTAGTAGCAACAACAGCAGTGGCAGCAGCAACAACTCTTCGTCAGCGGTCAGCAACACCATTAGTGTTAGCAACACAATCACATGGAGTCAACAATATCAGCAGCTACAAAATACGCGAAAACAACCGACAATTGTTGTTAATCACAAAACCCAACAGCAACAGTTGCAGCTGCAACAACAAAGTTTACCAAAAATTGTTGCACCAACAAAAACAATGTTGCCTCCAACGACTCTGACTACATCTTCCAATTTCAGTAATGTGCAATTAAATTCGGTTGCTGCCAGTGATAATAATACCAGGCAACTTCCAAATTCCGCTCCTGCCGATACGCCGAGCAAAACTAATGACCACAGCAACAATAACAACAGCAAGAATGTAGCTGATTTGCCAAATAAAACTTCGAAAGATTCGTCGTTCAGCTATGGATTAACAAAATCCGCCAAGGATAGCAGTCATCAATTGGATGTAAAACCAAATCTGGCACCTGGTTGGCAAAGGCAGACCAACAACAACAATGAAATTGTTTATATAAGGTAAGTGAAAAAAATGTTTGCCATTTTTTAAAGGAATATTTTTTCAAGGCCTATTCAAGGCGTCGATTTTTTTAAAGGAATATTTTTTCAAGGCCTATTCAAGACGTGGATTTTTTTAAAGGAAGATTTTTTTCAAGGCGTTGATTTTTTAAAGGAATATTTTTTCAAGGCCTATTCAAGGCGTGGATTTTTTAAAGGAATATTTTTTCATGGCCTATTCAAGGCGTGGATTTTTTTAAAGGACTATTTTTTCAAGGCCTATTCAAGGCGTGGATTTTTTTAAAGGAATATTTTTCAAGGCATATACAAGGCGTGGATTTTTTAAAGGAATATTTTTTCAAGGCCTATACAAGGCGTGGATTTTTTAAAGGAATATTTTTTCAAGGCCTATACAAGGCGTGGATTTTTTAAAGAATATTTTTTCAAGGCCTATACAAGGCGTGGATATTTTAAAGAATATTTTTTCAAGGCCTATACAAGGCGTGGATTTTTTAAAGGAATATTTTTTCAAGGCCTATACAAGGCGTGGATTTTTTAAAGGAATATTTTTTCAAGGCCTATACAAGGCGTGGATTTTTTAAAGGAATATTTTTTCAAGGCCTATACAAGGCGTGGATTTTTTAAAGGAATATTTTTTCAAGGCCTATACAAGGCGTGGATTTTTTAAAGGAATATTTTTTCAAGGCCTATACAAGGCGTGGATTTTTTAAAGGAATATTTTTTCAAGGCCTATACAAGGCGTGGATTTTTTAAAGAATATTTTTTCAAGGCCTATACAAGGCGTGGATTTTTTAAAGGAATATTTTTTCAAGGCCTATACAAGGCGTGGATTTTTTAAAGGAATATTTTTTCAAAGCAATATTTTTTTTAAAGGAATATTTTTCCAATGCCTACTCAAGGCGTGGATTTTTTAAAGGAATTTTTCCAAGGCGTGGATTTTTTAAGGAATATTTTTCCAAGGCGTGGATTTTTTCAAAGGAATATTTTTCCAAGGCGTGGATTTTTTCAAAGGAATATTTTTCCAAGGCGTGGATTTTTTCAAAGGAATATTTTTCCAAGGCGTGGATTTTTTCAAAGGAATATTTTTCCAAGGCGTGGATTTTTTCAAAGGAATATTTTTCCAAGGCCTATACAAGGCGTGAATTTTTTCAAATGAATATTTTTCCAAGGCGTGGATTTTTTTAAAGGAATATTTTTTCAAGGCCTATACAAGGCTTGGATTTTTTCAAAGGAATATTTTTTCAAGGCCTATACAAGGCGTGGATTTTTTCAAAGGAATATTTTTCCAAGGCGTGGATTTGTTCAAAGGAATATTTTTTCAAGGCCTATACAAGGCTTGGATTTTTTCAAAGGAATATTTTTTCAAGGCCTATACAAGGCGTGGATTTTTTCAAAGGAATATTTTTCCAAGGCGTGGATTTGTTCAAAGGAATATTTTTTTAAGGCCTATACAAGGCGTGGATTTTTTCAAAGGAATATTTTTCCAAGGCGTGGATTTTTTCAAAGGAATATTTTTTCAATTCCTATACAAGGCGTGGATTTTTTCAAAGGAATATTTTTTCAAGGCCTATACAAGGCGTGGATTTTTTAAAGGAATATTTTTTTTAAAGGAATATTTTTCCAAGGCCTACTCAAGGCGTGGATTTTTTAAAGGAATATTTTTCCAAGGCGTGGATTTTTTCAAAGGAATATTTTTTCAAGGCCTATTCAAGGCGTGGATTTTTTCAAAGGAATATTTTTTCAAGGCCTATTCAAGGCGTGGATTTTTTCAAAGGAATATTTTTTCAAGGCCTATTCAAGGCGTGGATTTTTTCAAAGGAATATTTTTTCAAGGCCTATTCAAGGCGTGGATTTTTTCAAAGGAATATTTTTTCAAGGCCTATTCAAGGCGTGGATTTTTTCAAAGGAATATTTTTTCAAGGCCTATTCAAGGCGTGGATTTTTTCAAAGGAATATTTTTTCATTGGATTGGATTTTTAAAGGAATATTTTTCCAAGGCCTATTCAAGGCGTGGATTTTTTAAACGAATATTTTTTCAAGGCCTATTCAAGGCGTGGATTTTTTAAACGAATATTTTTTCAAGGCCTATTCAAGGCGTGGATTTTTTAAACGAATATTTTTTCAAGGCCTATTCAAGGCGTGGATTTTTTAAAGGAAAACTAAATATATTATTTAATACGTTTTGATTGACATTTTATTTTTGTTCATAATAACAACAATTGTTCACATTTATCTACGGGATTCATAGGCGTCCCCTTGGCACACTGAAATGCTTGAGCAAATTGTTCCAAATTCGTTAGGGGTACAAAGGCACGAAATTCATCGGGTGAATGCTCATCACTGGCAGCTACCACCGATGTGTTAACTTCAAATATATCCGAACACCACATTTGAGAGTAATGAATAAAAAACAACTGTTTGGCATCATAATATAAATCCTCGAATACTTCTCCTTGCAATTCCGCTTTGGATTGTGATGAGTTGGTATACCATTCATTATAGATTTCATAGGCAATTAAAACTCCCGCATTGTCAGCCGAATTTTCACTCTGCATTGAATCCTGAGGCAAATTGTGACCAGCAAATGAATAATTGTGATATTGATCGTATAGACAATCCTGGCGCTTTTCTAATTCCTCTTCATTTTCCCATTCACCTGTCAGCTTGCCCGTATGATCGAAATAACGCCCGACAGCCGTAAAGGCATGCATTAGTTCATGGCAGAGGAGAAATCCCAGGTGGGCATAATTTAAATTGTGCGGATTTTCGGCGGCCCAAAAGAATGGATTTTGTAAAACGGATACCGGAATTATGACCATATTCGATTTGGCCACATAGGTGGGTGAGAACATGTCCAGACCCATTTCAATATAGTTCGGATTTTCGTACAGAGATTTGTGCTTTTTAATGGCTTCCAGGGAAATCAAGGTTTTTAGATTTTCCACAAAATCATCGGGTGAAATTTCCACATTTTCATATTCTCCACTGCAATTGTTGTACTCCTGATAGTTGGGCATTACCATTGTTAAGGTGTCTAATTTTCGCAATGCAAATTTTCGCGATTCGGCATCAAACCAGGACATTTTATTTGAATTCAAAGCCTTTCGTATGGCGGCCTTTACGCGATTCCAAAATTCGAATATGGCCACTTCATAATTCTGCAAATTATAATGGCGATAATAGAATTGACTGACAAGCTTGGGTAGATACAGTTCAACTTGCGTGATACAGCGGCGCTCCAAATCGCTCTGACTGATGGAAGTTTTAAATTTGAACGGCATTAATAAATTATAAAAAATATAATTGGCCACAATTCGTTTTGGTGTCGTCTTCGTAATGTCGATCAGGCTTGCTACATAGTGGGTTATATCGATCTGCAGATTAGGAGGTATGGAGCCATAGGAAATATTCATGAGCCGATAGATGTCAAAATCGGGTGCAAATTTCTCCTGCAACTCAGCAATGGAAATGGAATCACTTCCCATTTTGGAATCCTGCTCCTTGGCTTGCCATAATTTCTGTTCGAAGTCCACATATTCTTGGGCAAACCCCTCTGCCTTGGTTTGATTCACATTGAAAAAGTTTTTCAGGTTTTTTACAATGGTTGCACGATAAGAATCACGGTGTTGAAGATAACCATTTTGAATTTCAAACTCATGAATTTTCAAATATATCATATTTTCCGAGGCATTATGGTGGTTGGGAATGATCCCATAACCCACAATAATGGTGAATCCATATTTCTTTGATATTCTGGCAATGGTTGTTTGCCAATCAAATTCATTTTCCTGCCAAGTGTCATTCACCTCCTCCTCAAGTAAAGGCATTCCACCAAATTCCTGTGCAATTTTCCTTAGCTGTTGCACATATTCACTTTGATTTCGATTTTTCTGATTTAGACAAGAATTGTAGAAATTTTTCAATTTAATTTCATTGGGTGTTGTTGGTAAGTGTTCGGCATCAGCATCCTCTTCCCTCGAGGTCAACAACTTGTTCAATCTTCCATAGAAAAATTTAACACCCTCTGTAAAGGCATCTCTTTGAGGTTCATCCTCACTAGCCGGGTGAAGATGTTTCCAATTGCCACAGGCAAATTGATAGAAATTCTCACAAGGATCTGCACTTGCATTCATATAATTGCGGAGTTTTTGCGAACGATTTTCAGGATCGGCATTTTGAATTGTTGGTAAAGTTTGTGTTAGGTTTAATATTGAAATTAATATTAATATTGAAATTGGTTTTAACATAATATTTCTGATTTATTTGTTTAATATTTACACTGCACCGCTCGAAGTTAAATTCTAAACTAAATTTTTCAATACAGATTGATTCGAATTCAATGCAAACATCTGTGAAATTCAAATCATATCTCCACATAGGGTTCACAATGTTATCACCATTTGTTTTTTGCTTGGTAAACATTTGTTGCTGCTGCTAGGGATGGAGAATCGGCTCAGTAAATAAACCGGGTAAATTCTGGGTGGAATTTTAAAGGACAGGCGTGAATTTTTTGAAGAATATTTTTTCAAGGACAAGCTAAGGCGTGGATTTTTTAAATGATATTTTATCAAGGACTAGCTAAGGCGTGGGTTTTTAAAGAATATTTTTTCAAGGACTAATGCGTGGATTTTTTAAAGAATATGTTTAAGAATATTTTTCAACGGACTAAGTCGTGGATTTCCTTAAGAATATTTTTCAAAGGACTAAGTCGTGGATTTCCTTAAGAATATTTTTCAAAGGACTAAGTCGTGGATTTCCTTAAGAATATTTTTCAAAGGACTAAGTCGTGGATTTCCTTAAGAATATTTTTCCAAGGACCATAACATGTGTAGATTTTTTAAGAATATTTTTTCAAGGACCGTCCATACAAGGCGTGGATTTTTTAAAGAATATTTTTTCAAGGACCATCCATACAAGGCGTGGATTTTTTAAAGAATATTTTTTCAAGGACCATCCATACAAGGCGTGGATTTTTAAAGAATATTTTTTCAAGGACCATCCATACAAGGCGTGGATTTTTTAAAGAATATTTTTCAAGGACCATCCATACGAGGCGTGGATTTTGTAAAGGAATATTTTTCAAGGACCATCCATACGAGGCGTGGATTTTGTAAAGGAATATTTTTCAAGGACCATCCATACGAGGCGTGGATTTTGTAAAGGAATATTTTTCAAGGACCATCCATACAAGGCGTGGATTTTTTAAAGAATATTTTTTCAAGGACCATCCATACAAGGCGTGGATTTTTTAAAGAATATTTTTCAAGGACCATCCATACAAGGCGTGGATTTTTTAAAGAATATTTTTCAAGGACCATCCATACAAGGCGTGGATTTTTTAAAGAATATTTTTGAAAAGGACCATCCATACAAGGCGTGGATTTTTTAAAGAATATTTTTGAAAAGGACCATCCATACAAGGCGTGGATTTTTTAAAGAATATTTTTGAAAAGGACCATCCATACAAGGCGTGGATTTTTTAAAGAATATTTTTTCAAGGACCATCCATACAAGGCGTGGATTTTTTAAAGAATATTTTTTCAAGGACCATCCATACAAGGCGTGGATTTTTTAAAGAATATTTTTCAAGGACCATCCATACAAGGCGTGGATTTTTTAAAGAATATTTTTTCAAGGACCATCCATACAAGGCGTGGATTTTTTAAAGAATATTTTTCAAGGACCATCCATACAAGGCGTGGATTTTTTAAAGAATATTTTTCAAGGACCATCCATACAAGGCGTGGATTTTTTAAAGAATATTTTTCAAGGACCATCCATACAAGGCGTGGATTTTTTAAAGAATATTTTTCAAGGACCATCCATACAAGGCGTGGATTTTTTAAAGAATATTTTTTCAATGACTAACTAAGGCGTGGATTTTTTAAAGAATATTTTTCAATGACTAACTAAGGCGTGGATTTTTTAAAGAATATTTTTCAATGACTAACTAAGGCGTGGATTTTTTAAAGAATATTTTTCAATGACTAACTAAGGCGTGGATTTTTTAAAGAATATTTTTCAAGGACCATCCATACAAGGCGTGGATTTTTTAAAGAATATTTTTCAAGGACCATCCATACAAGGCGTGGATTTTTTAAAGAATATTTTTTCAATGACTAACTAAGGCGTACATTTTTTAAATAATCCCTACTCATAGAATGAAAATGCCACAAGCCAAATATGAAAACAATTTCTCATCTCTCAGCACGGCTATAAAATGCAAGATTTAAATATTTTATTTGTTGGGTTTCACAAGAACGTAGGTATTTAGGGTTTTTATAATGATTTTGTTGGTGGTGTAGAATATAACACCGCATACACAAAAGGAAAATGTTTTTTTTGTTAACCTTGAATAAACAGGATAACAAGATAAAATGGAAGATTAAAATTTTGTTGATGAAACCATAGAACAATAAATAAAAGAAAATCATTTTTTACTACGTAAAAGAAACATCGTATCCATGTAGGCAGAAGGCCTCCCCGAGAATCTGTTTAGAGCTGTTGTTGCCTATTTGCGAGTTGTTATTTTTGTTCTCGTTGTTGTTGTCTGCGAATATTAATATAATTTTTATTAGAAAATGAATTATTATCCTGCGGCATGAGCGAAGGTTGTTTCTTTTGTTGGTGTTTTTTTGGTAGGAATTTGAAAAGGTTTTATAACCGGTTATTCTGTTTTATTTGTTGAAATCTTGTTTCAGTTTTAAATTTTATTTTTTTAGTTGGCAGACAACCCCGCCTGCAAAAAATATCTATATAGTTCCATGTTTTTACATAGCTCCAATGGAAATTAAGTATTTTGAACGATTTAATACTACTGTAGTGATACCAATTTTACTTACGGATTCTTGGTGGGGAGAAACGGTTTCTTAGAAAAATTGCAGTATAGGTCAACATTTTGATATAAGACACCATACACAGCTCTCGCACATTGAAGGTATTGTGAAGGTCCTGGGCATATTTTTTACGGAGCGGTTGTAATTTTGTGCAGAATTTTTTAATAGTAGTAGCATATTTTCTCATAGCCCTCATCTAAAAGTCTCAACAAATTTTAGATATTTTGAAAAGTAGTTTGGCGGGTTATTTGGGTTACCGTTTGTATTTTGTTTTTGCAAAATAGTCAGGCTGAACGCCAGTTTGTTTTTTTATAAAAACAACTACTTATTATGGGGATTGTCCGCCAAAGGGTAAGGCAGGGAAGACCATCAGTTTCCTTAGTTTTTTTGTTGGGATATTCTCCCCAGAAGCTATTTATTGCTTCTTCACAAAAAAAAAAAACCTTTCATACCCAAAAGTCTCTTGTGACAAATCGAAGTACTTACGTTACCAGCGATATGACCTCAATGAGAAGTTTGTTGGTGCCTGACATCGTGGTCAACAAGACATTTCCAGACAACTACAATACATTTCCCACTGCTAGTCACATTGTGACGAATGCACATAACGTTGTTGTCGGGAAATATTATTATAGGTAAACTTTTTAACATAGTTCTCATATATAGGCCCCGGTCATTTTTCAATATTTATACTTAAGTAATTTTTTCATTACAGGTTCTTGATAAAGAAAAATGTTGTTCGCCAAATAAGTTCAATGTTTCTTAATAAATTCAGAGGATTCGCTTAATTCTTGTTATATTGAAAAGCCAAGTCTAAAGCTCCAGACTTTTAAAATAAATTTTGAACGTATACAAGCTTTCCGAACTACGCTCTATCTTGTTAGAAATAGTTATAAAGCGATGTAAGGACCTACCATAGCATTTATTATGCCATTCATCATTCTATGATGGAGGTCTATGTCTTTTTTTCATTTGTATGTAACATAGAAGATGGAAACAAGATGTAAATTGGCACAGCTGATCTGAGAGAATTAGTTGACATTTCGAGCTATCATAAACATTTTCCTGAGATTTCGTGTTAATTGTACTTAAAACACCTAAGTCGGTCCAGTTTCTGAATGGAGGTGGAGGTACTAGAAAGAGTCGGCAGATAATTACCGTCATCCAACATTATAGTGGCTTGTTTAAAGTATTAAATTGTGCAACATTTAGTTCCAATCGGATAGTCCGTTCGCATGATATTATAACTTTTTGTGGGAGAGGTACACGAACGAAGGAAGCCGATATTCCCCATCTTCGGACTTCATTTAAGTTTGGAAGAAATATTGCGATGTGCACAGATTGAATAGAATCAGTTACACCCTTCGAGAGTAAACCAGCAAATCAGGCAGTCGAACGAACGTTTTTACTTTTTTTATTGAACAAGTGGGCAAAGAGTTGACCATTGTGTCGGATTTACTAAATAGAAAAAATATATTGAATATACATATTCTAGATGTACCTCGCCTAGAATACAAGTATAGCTTCTTATAGAGAAAGCCACCACTTTTCATTAATATCAAAAATATTTTTCTATTTTGATCTATTTTACCACTATTTGCGCTCATATTTTCCTTTCTCTTGCTCTCAAGAAAAAAAAAAAACAACAATACTCATTGTTCGGCAGTGTTTTGTTTTGATAGCGTTTCCGTCTCTCCCCTACTTGGTGGTTTTTAGTTTTGCTCACTCAATTGTTCTTCTTCACTGTTACTGACGTCTGCATTGTGTTACAAAATTCGCATATGTATTTTCCAAATTATTTCGATATACATGCCAAATACAATATGTCAAAGAAGCGTTGATACGAGCTACAATTCTAACCGAATGTTTAACGAATAAAAAACCCCAAATCCAATTAAAAGTTGCCATTGAAAATCGGTCGCTAAAGACACTCCAATGTTTCTCTCTCTCTTACAAGAAACTATTACTTAGAGTTTTATGAACTATTCATTCACTACATCTTTTATCAGACAGACGGTCATTGCTGCAACAATCCAAAAGCGTGTGAAATGGATTTGGGTCTCAACCAATGGCTGGGAGACACAGGTTATAAATATTTATAAAATGACTAGTTTTTATTATATTACAGTATCGTGATTCACCATGCATTTATCATACTTTTGCAATCTTGATAAAAAAGTACCAAATATTAAAAAATTTAAATATTATTTTTTTTATTACATATAATGAAATACATAACATTAACAAACATATAATAAACCTTAATATATAATACACTTATCATATGGATTCATGGGACTCGCTAAATCACATGAAAATTCTTTAGAAAATTCAACGAAATTCGAAAGGGGACCAATAACACGAAATCTATCGGGAACATGTTCATCAATTATTGTTACATAATTACTTAACATTGGATGTGTTGAACTACACCATAGTTGGGCATATGAAATGAAAAATAGCTGCTTTCCAGTGAAATTAAAACGTGGTAACATTTCCATTTCAATATTTAACCGAGAACGATGATACCAATCGGTGTATGCTTCAAAAGCCAAACGGATGCCACCATTATCGGCAATATTTTCCGACTGCGAAACAATTTTGGATAAATGTCGCCCATTGTGGATGTATGAATGATATTGTTTGCGAAAACATTGGGTACCGCGGATAAAATGCTCCTGAGTATAGAAATCCCACCATTGACGATTATTGCCATTGGCATCAAACATCCGACCCTCCTCATCAAAGGCATGTATGACTTCGTGGGAGATAAAAAATCCCAAGGTGGCAAATTTTAAAGCATTTGGATATGAATCGGACCAAAGGTAATAGGGTTGCAGCATGGCCACGGGTACTTTGATGAGATTTTCGGTTAAAATATAGGCAGGGGAAAATGACATAACCGCTTCATAGTGGGGTCGTGGCTCTTCCCTTAATCTCAGTCTTGTCTGATTGGCTTTCCAAATGAAAATCTCTCTTAGATTTCTCACCAAATCATGTTTGTTGATGGTGAGATTTTGAAATTCCAAATCAAAATCGATATCTTTATGGGAGTTGATTTCCAATTTCATGGAGTCCAATTTCAACTTGGCCATATACCTTGTTAGTGGCCTCATCCAACTTAGCCTCACCGAATCCAAGGCACGCTGAAAGCTGGCCTTAATAGTGTGCCACATTTGTTGAACATCTTCTTCCATGCGGGGGGTTATATATTTCCGATAGACCATATCATCCATAAGACTGCTGAAAAACATTTTCGTTTTCATGAGGCACAAATGATCCAGTTCATCCGTCACTTTGGGTTTGATCAGCATAAAATGTTCCAATAGATTGAAAAATATATAATTTGCTACAATGCGTTTGGGTGTGCTGCGTACGGCATCTATAATATTCTCTGCATCGAACGAATTGAGGTCATAGATTTTCGCTGTGGGTATGTATCCCAATAAAATGTTCAACATTTTCTTTACATCGAAGTGTGGAAAATATTTATGTTGCATATCGTCAGCCGTG